CCTCAGTTTCTTGGAAAACTCTGGGCCTCGAAGCAGAGGCTGGGTGGCTGTCAGCGTGAAAACAGTACAGGTGGAGCCATCAAGGGCTGCAGCCTTGCAGGACCCGCGGGTGTGGTCTGGCCCGAGGATAGATCCCAGCCCACCCTCCCTCCAGGGGAGTAGAGAAGCACAGGGGAGGAGGTAGGGGCGGAGGGGAGGGAGGAGAGGAGGAGGGGGTGGCAAGGGGTCAGTTATGCAGCAGCTGCCACCTCGCGTCCAACTCTCGATTCTGTCTGTGACCTGAGTCCTTGCAGAGCTGGGGCTGGCCCTGCCTTGCTCATTTGAGCTGATTGGGTCAGAGCCTTGGAGCCTTAAAGCGAGGAGGGGCTGGGCCCTCAAACAAGGATCCCAGCGCTTCCGCCTGGCCCACAGCGTGGGCTCCTCCCGTCTGTGGGCTCCGGGTCACACGGTGCCCGGTGCCTTTGGCCTGACGGGCAGTCCTGCTGAGGGCAGGGTGGGTCAGCCTGGGATGCTGACCAAGAGAGGTGTGGGTGCGTCTGTGACTGAGGGCCTCGGCAGTTTCTTATTTCTTCCTTTTAGCTCATTTTGTGGTTAGGAGGTCTTGGGGGTTTTTAAACTGGAACTGAAACTGGTGAGAAGTACTCATTAGCATTTCTTGAATGGTCTGGATGTTGGGGAAATCCCAAAAGGTGACCGAGTTCACCTGAAGGCCCTAGTGATGGTGGGAAATAGCAGTTAGGTGCTGTTTCCTATTCTTTCCTACAGTGAGTCCTGTGCCTTTGCATTTTGTCGCACAAACTAAACAGATGGTTGGATGTGACACTGGACGGTATACCAATGGGTCTGGGTTGCCCGCCACTACTCATGCCAATTCAGCAGAGACAGGGTTGAATCATATATGAGTGTTTATTCCAGTAATGCCGGCAGCGTGGGAGAGCAGCGGGTCATCCACGAAAATCTGCTCCGCACCCTCCCCCCCGCTTGTATTGGGTAGGATAAGGGTTACATGGGAAGTAGGCAAAGGGGATAAGGATGGGTATGCAAAATGGGTATTACAGGCCTGGGGAAGTGGGCAGAGCAGGCTGGGGTGGCACCCCATTGTTTGGGCATCTGGGTCGTTAATCTTTCCATGATAATGGGCAGTTGTTGAATGAGAATGGATCTCATTCCAAGGTTTACTGTCAGGTCCAAGGTTGACCCTCAGGTCCCAGAGGCCGAACAACTCCAAGCCAGGTTAGCATGTCCATTCTTTAATTAGAACAAGACGATCAAGGTTAACAGAGCATGATTAACATTTCATGTAGCTCTATTCCCATATTCTATTTTAGCCCCTAACAGATGGGCAGAGCTGGCAGGGACCGCATTACCGATGAGGAAACCGGCGCCTGAGCTGTTAGGTGCCAAGCTCAAGGTCCTCGCTGCCTGAGGTCACTGGTGGCTGGGAGGGAGCTCTGTTTCTTGCTCCCCACGTCACGTAGAGACCTCGCTGCTTGCTGAGGTGCTCTGCTCCGGCCACCCAGCCTTGCCGTGTGCACCGACAGCCTCAGCTGGCTGCAGGGCCATCTGCATGATGCCCATCGCCCACTCACTCACCCACTGTCTCTTTTGCAGAGCTACCTGGTTGGGTGGCCCCAGTTCCGGAAGAGCCTGTGGCTGCTGGCCTACCTGGTGGTGCTGGTCTTGTCTTTCGTGGACTGGATGGTGTCGCTGAGTCTCGTCTGCCAGGAGGTAGGTTGTGAGCTGGCTCTGGGGGTGGAGTGGGGGGCTCTGGGCAGGCTGCACAGTGTAGCCGCCCAGGTGAACAGCTGGCTCCTGAGGTCCTGCAGTCATTCCCCCACCCACCCAGCTCCCAGCTCCCGCTCCGCCTGCCCTGCATAGCCCTCCCTGCATAGCCCTCCCTGCATAGCCGTGCGTCACTCATTGCCCAGGGAGCCCGTTTCCACCTTGTGATGACCTTGAGGCCTGGAGAAGGCGGGAGGACCTGGGAGCATGTTCCAGGGTCCCGATTCCTGCTCCACTCCTTTAAGCTGATTCCTTGACTGGATGGGTCCCGCATTAAGCACCACCCCAGGGCCTCACCCTAGCCACACGCCCAGAGCTCTGTGACCCCGCCGGGAAATCCCATGGGAGCAGGTGGCCCTGCCCGTCTGACTGCAGCCTCTTCGCTTCCCCTCAGAGAACCCAGGAGCACTGCCCTGTGGTTCGGTGGGACAGAGCTGGGAAGAGTTGGTTTGGGGACGTTGTGTCCATCAGGGCTGGTGAGGGACACAGTCCTGGAGGCCCACCAGGGGTTTTAGTGGAGGGAATTTAACACAGGGACTTAAGCAGGGGTTGAGTAACTGCAAGAGCAAAAAGGGGACCCAGTGGAACTCAGAGAAAACTGCGGGAAGCACCCCCTCCCCCACCCCGGGCTCCCAGAGCTGGGACCTGCCCTCTGACCTCTGGGAAGGGCACCCTCTGGTGTCGCCCAGAGGCTCGATGAGGTTGGTTCTGGGAGGCGCCTCCACTGGCTCCATTTCCGAGTGCCGTCATTGAATCCGTGTTACTGGCCACTCGAACCTTCTGTCACTTCAGCCTCAGTTGTGACCCTCACCACCCCCAATCCTTGGATGACGCTGGGAGGAAGATTGGCTAATACACACAGCCGTGTCTGTGTTGCTGCTGGTCGCTGATCCTAACAGAAATCTGTAACTTCCTCCTGCTCCCACCCACGTGCTCCCAGCTGGTCTGGGTTCGTTATCTGGTGGGGCGGCCACATTCGTTCCTGAGGGGCCTCAGTGCTCGGTGGTCCTGCCTCTGGTTACTGGACAGTAGCCCCCCAATCTGTCCCTGGAAACAGACCACTCACTCCGCTGGCACCCAGCCCCTTTTCACCAAGAGTCATGGTGTGTCCCTGGGGGGAGCACCCCCTTTAGAAGCAGGCATTCGCAGCTGGCAGGCCCGGAGCTGGGGGCAGGGAGCGGAGGTGTTGCCGTCCCTTTTGCCCTGTGTTCCTGGGCCTTCCTAGGGCCCTGGGCCTGCCCACAGGCCGCCTGCTTTGGGCAAGGGCCCGCGGCGAGGCCGGCAAGGGCTGTGAGCTCTTCCCTGGTCTGAAGCGGGGTTGGCCCTGAGGCGTGGATGGTCCTGGGAGAGGCCTCAGGCAGGGCAGGCAGAGCCCCAACCTGCACACCTGTCTGCCCGGAGTGGGCAGAGCAGCGCCCTGCAGGGGGGAGGGCTGGCAGTCACCACCCACCAGGGGCCACATGGGGGCCGGCCTGGGCTCTGCTTCTGGTAGGGTGGGCCCTCGGTAGTGGCTTCCGTCCCTGGAGATCAGAGCGGCGGGTTGAGGGGCTCAGGACATCCACGGACCTTCATCCTATCCAGAGAGCCTCTGCTCGGGCATGCCCTGAGGTGTGTTCCCTCCTGCCCACACGTGTCCTGCCCAGACGTCCTTGTCCCCGGTCGTCCAGTCTGTCCCCTCCAGGCCCTGCACCCACCAGGGAAGCGTAACCTTTCTCAGCCAGTGACCTGCCCCCGGCAGAGCTTTCCCCGCCGCCGTCTCTTAGGGACTGACTTCTGCTTGGGGCTGGCCCAGCACCCAGACCCGTCTGCACACCAGGCCCGAGGCGTGTCTCCGTGGCCAGCTGGCTGGTCGGCAGGAACTCCCGCCGGCATCGGGGCCCTTGGGAGGCCTTGGGGCCCCTGACCTGCTTGAGCCCCGTCTCACTTCCATGTTTACCAGACGGCCTGTTTCTCCCCCAACTTGAGGCTGAGTGGGGCGGGTTACACGTGGGTTGCAGGTCACCGAGGGGCCGTGGTCACGGCTCAGTGTGGCAGTTGCTCTCAGGAGACTAGCGTCTGCAGAGCAGTTGGTGGCTCCTCCCCAGAGCCGTGGGACCTGGCTGCAGTGCCTGGGTGGCCTTGCCAGGGCTTCCCAGGTGCGGGGCTGGCTCCTCCTGCAGGCGAGCCGCATGGCAGTACCTTCCACCCCTGTGAGCTCCGCATGTCCCTGCCCTGGCGTGGCCTCAGCTTGGGAAGCGCTGGGGACTGGGTTTCGGTGTCTGGAAGCCGCACTCTGGTCCGTGTCTGACCACAGCCAAGGGTCCGAGACCGGGGGTGCTGGCGGCACCTGGAGGGAGGCCTGGGACTCTGCTGGGCCTGGGACGGAGCTCCTGTGCAGTGGGCCGTGGGCAGGGTGTGGGGGTGTGGGTGCCCGTGTACTGCGGGTTCCTTGGCCTTCGAGGTGCTGTGCGGGGCGCAGGGGCCCTTCTGCGAGGAGTGCCGCGCAGGGAGGTGCAGGGCATCCTTGCCAGGTGGAGGGCCTATTGTGCGCCAGTGCTGCGGGCCCTTGTGCTGTGGCCCTTGTGCTGCGGGGAGAGACTGGCAGTCCCAGGAAACACCGGATAGGTACTGGGATCTCAGTGCCAGGGAAAGCAGCCCAGGCAGCACTTGAGGTGGCTCTTCCACCGAGACGGGAGGGACGGTGACAGGGACAGCCAGCTGGCTGAGCAGGGGGGGGCTGAGTGCCGTGCCAGTGGGATGGTGAGGGGCGGTGGGGCTGGGCTGGAGGGCCCAGGCAGCACTGGACGCTTGGGCCGGAAGGTGACATGGCCAGCCTTACGTTTCTAAGACAAGTCACTCCATACAGTGATGGTGAACCTATGATATGGGTGTCAGAGGTGACACGCGAACTCATTTTTTTGGTTGATTTTTCTTTGTTAAATGGCATTTAAATATATAAAATAAATATCAAAAATATAAGTCTTTGTTTTACTATGGTTGCACATATCAAAAAATTTCTATATGTGGCACGGCACCAGAGTTAAGTTAGGGTTTTTCAAAATGCTGACACGCCGAGTCAAAAGGTTCGCCATCACTGCCATAGGACGTGATATGGGTTGAGAGCCTGGATTAGAGGTTGAACTTGGGTGTCCAGAGGAAGATGAGGCTCTCTGTGGGGTGGGACAGCCCCACTGCCAGAGCCACTTGCAGGCTGCTCTGTGAGGTGTGGGGCTGCCTCCTCGGGAAGGGCACTGCATGTCTGCAGGGCTGGGCGAGCTGGGACAGCGAGGACGCCTGAGTCTAGGTCAGGGCTGTGGCCAGGAGCCGGGAGGGAAGCAGCTGGGGCGTGTGGCCCGGGAAGGTCTCTGTGGTTTGCCCACCTCCCATGGCAGGTGAGGGGTGTGGGTGGCACTTGAAAGCCCGGCCTGGTGTTCAGTGTCCTGGTCTCTTCCAGCCCCTGCGGCTGCGCCGGCTCCTGCGGCCCTTCTTCCTGCTGCAGAACTCCTCCATGATGAAGAAGATGCTCAAGTGCATCCGGTGGTCGCTGCCGGAAATGGCCAGGTGGGCTGCGCCGGGCGTGCAGGCAGGATGGGCTGTCCTGCTCCCTGCCCTGTGGTTGGTGTCTGGGTCTCTCCTCATGGCTCACCCTCCAGCCCCTGGGGTCCTGGGACTCCTGGGACGTGCCCCTGAGTTGTGGGTTGTCCCTGCCAAAGAAAGAGGCTTGGTTAGGGCAGGACCCCGCCGGGTGCATGGCAGGCTGTGGGGCAGAGAGGGCACCTGCCCTGAGGCTGGCTGCGGGAGCTCCCCGGGTGGCTCGGTCCCTGGACCCCCATCCCGTTGGGCATGCGGGCACCTGCCCGGTGCTGAGCCGCGCCCGTCCTTCCAGCGTGGTGCTGCTGCTGGCGCTGCACCTCTGCGTCTTCACCATGCTCGGGATGCTGCTCTTCACCGGCAACAAGGTACCGGCCTCAGCTGCTCTGCTCGGTTTGATGGCGGGGTGGGCCCTCTGTTAGTCTGCCTTGTGGGAACCCCGCTGGGTGGTTCTCGGGCCAGCAGAGAAGAGGACTGCTGCCCACCTCACGGGCAGGGCAGTGGTGCCCACCTGCAGTCCGCTGTCTTTCTTCAGATGACCGCGGTTTAGAGCTGGCCCACTGCTCCCCTGCCCGGGCCTCCTGGGCTCCGGGTCACTCTGCCTCTGCCTGGCTGCCTCCCCTTCCCTCCCCTCCCCAGGCTCTGACTGGGCTTTCTCTGCACCCTCCTAGACAGGCCCCTCAGATTGGCACTTGGGGCCAGCGGGATGGCCTCTCTCACAGCACCTGTCCGTCCGTCCAGCAGGCACTTCTCACCGTGTCCCTCTTCTCCAGCCCCGGGCTTTGCCTGGTCCCCTCCGCTCCTGCCCTTGCTGCTTCCGGCCCCCAGCAGCTTGTTGCTGTGTGACGGTGCCTGTCCTGTCACCCGCTTGCCCCTGTGCCCACACATCTGTGGTCCCGTGTGTGTCCTCACTTCCTGGCCAGGTCACTGTCCTCAGGCCAGAGCTGCCCTGCATTTCTGTCTGGGGAATGTGGCCAGCGCTTGGCCAGGGCTGGTCTTCATTAGCTTGTGGCAGTGTTTGGGGCTTGGTGCCGAGCTGCCCACAAGGGAGACTGATGACTGTCTCCCCCCCACCCCCGTGTGTGTATGTGTGTGTGTGTGTGTGTGTGTGTGTGTCTGTCTGGGACCAGCTGGCAGACTCTCAGGCCCCAGAGGCTGTGCAGTGGCCGCCCTTGCTGCTCCCTGCAGAGCCCGCGGCAGTTGGGCCAGAGGGTTGCTGATTTCGTGGAGCGGCCTGGGCTGAGGAGAGTGGATGGTTGGCCGTGGGTAGGAGGGCCCCCCTGGCTGGGTCCAGGGCCTGGAGCTCTGCTGGCCCACGGCCGGAGCTGGCCTGGGCTGAGGAGAGCCGATGGTTGGCCGTGGGTAGGAGGGTCCCCCCGGCTGGGTCCAGGCCTGGAGCTCTGCTGGCCCACGGCCGGAGCTGGCGGGAGCAGGCCCGCGTGGCTCCTCA